CTGAGCCCCCCTCCTGCACCCCAAACCCCTCATCCCTGGCCCCACCCAGAGCCTGAAACCCCCAGCTGGAGCCCTCACCCCCTCCCAACCTCCTGCCCCAGTCTGGAGCCCCGTCCCGTAACCTGAACCCCTCATTTCTGGCCCCACCCCAGAGCCTGCACCCCCAGTTAGAACCCTCACCCCCTTGCGCACCCCAACCCCCTGCCCCATCCCAGTGAAAGTGAGTGAGCATGGGGGAAAGCGAGCCACAGAGGGAGAGGGAATGTAGTGAGCAGGAGGAGGGGCCTCAGGGAAGAGGTGGGGCTATGGTGTTTGGTTTTGTGCAATTAGAAAGTTGGCAACCCTAATCCAGGAATTTCTCTCCCTTCCACTGAAATGCAGCCACCTCTGGGCTGGAGGGTGGCTGGTGCTAATAGCGCACAGCACTGTTACACAATAGGGGCCTGAACCCGCAAACTCGCACGGGTGGTCTCTCAAGCCAACTCTCATGAGTGAAGGGTTATGGGTGGGGATAAGGGTGTATTGGATCAGGCCTTGCTTTAGGACAGGAAGCAAAGAAAAGGGAAAAAATTAAAAGGTCAAATTTTTGACCACTGAATCCCCCCTGGAATGGCTTACCCGGGTAATTGGAGGAGTGGGGGGAACCCCATGAGACAGGATCACGTCTCCTGCAGCCAAGGAATGGAAGTGGACGCAGGAAACACCGGCCAAGGTTTTGTTTTGTCAGGCAGGCTTCACTGGTGCTAGCCCAGTGCAGCAGCCTCGGGCAAACACCACATGCTCCCACATGCACAGCCATCGCTCAGTCCTAAGTGTCCCTGGGAGCACTGGGGAGGCAGAGGGAGCTCTCGCCACAGGACCCATTCTTCCGCTTCCCTAGTAGCAATGAGAGTCTCTAAGGAGCCACGTCCGACCCTCTGCAGCTGGTACGACAGGTTATCCTATTATGGCACTTTCATGGGGAGGGGCCCATTTCTCCCCTCCCATTCCCCCTCCATTTATCCTCCCTCCTGCCCCTACAGCCCCACATTTCCGTGCACACACACGCATCCTGCCCGCTTCTGAGCACCCACAACCCACCCGGATTTCAGCGGAAGATGCTCAGCACCTCACAAGATGATGTCCTAGTAGGTCAGCAAACTCTCTTCCACTCTGTTCTCTGGCTGGTTGGGGGCAGCTAGCACGGTGCATGCCGTGGTGTCACATGGAGAGGGAACCAGCAACGAGGGGAGGGATCCAACAGACTCCTTCCCTCCCCCCACCCGAGAGGCCCCACTGCTTGGGGTGGGGGAGGTCACTTGTTAATACCACAGCTGGTGGCGTTCTCTGACTGCCCTTCCCAGGGTTCCTTTAAGCCTCAGTGTCTCTAGAGATTCCACATAACACACACGCACGCAGGGAGGGAGAAGGCTGGTGCAGAGCCTGCCTGTGCTGCTCACACCGCATTCCCCCCTGCCTCATTTCAGGAGTTGTGTAATAGTGATAGCTCAGCAATCCCTAACCTTCCCTGTGTCAGCAGCTCTCCCCTGGAGTGCTTCCTTCAGCCCTATTTTGAAATTTCTGCACTGATGTGGGGACAGCTATTGCTATGGAACAGGCTGGTGATTTTGCTCTCTCCCTGTGGAATCATAGTATGCTTATACATGAGGAATTTAGGGACAACTTAGTGCTCATTAATGTAACAAACTCACTGCAGCCGCATGTCACAGAAGAAAAAAGCTATGTCCCAAGAGTCTCAGCCATGTCCTCTTTCCCCTAAGGCAGTGGTTCTCAACCAGGGGTACACATACCCTTGGGGGTACGCAGAGGTCTTCCAGGGGGTACATCAACTCATCTAGATATTTGTCTACTTTTACAACAGGCTACATAAAAGGCACTAGCGAAGTCTGTACAAACTAAGACTTCATATAATGACTTGGTTGTACTGCTCTATGTACTATACGCTGAAATTTAAGTACAGTGTTTATATTCCAGTTGACTTATTTTATAATTCTATGGTAAAAATGAGAAAGGAAGCAATTGTTCAGTACTAGTGTGCTGTGACACTTTTTAATTTTTATGTCTGATTTTGTAAGTAAGTTGTTTTTAAGTGAGGTGAAACTTGGGGGTTCGCAAGACAAATCTGAAAGGGGTAGAGTGGTCTGGAAAGGTTGAGAGCCACTGCCCTAATGTACCTTGATTTGCTTATTTAGCTGTGTCATAACCATAAGGGTAGCCTAAAATTCCTCCTTACCTGCAAGGGGTTAAGAAGCTCAAGTAACCTGGTTGGCACCTGACCAAAGGAACCAAAGGGAACAAAAGATACTTTCAAATGGGGTGAGGGGGCAGAAGAGGAGAGAGAGGTTTTGTTTTGAGTTCTTTGTTTCTGTGGCCATTCTCTCTTGGGACTAAGAGGGACCGGACATCAATCCATGTCCTCCAAACCATTCTGAATCAGTCTCTCATATTATAGAAATTGTAAGTAACAGTCAGGCAAGGCGTATTAGTTTATCTTTGTTTTCTCAACTTGTGAATTTTCCCTTTGCTAGAGGGAAGTTTATCCCTGTTTTGTTGTAACTTTGAAACTAAGGCTAGAGGGGGTTCCTCTGTGCTCTTTGAATTTTCTGATACTCTGTAAGGTTAAGTACCAGCCTAAGTTTACAGAGGTGATTCTTTTACCTTTTTCTCTTTAAATAAAATCCTTCTTTTTAAGAACCTGACTGATTTTTCCATTGTTCTAAGACCCAGGGATTTGGGTCTGTACTCCCTTTGTAACCAGTTGGTGAGGATATATGCTCAAGCCTTCCTCAGGAAAGGGGGTGTAGGCTTGGGGGAATATTTTGGGGGGAATAGGACTCCAAGTGGTCCTTTCCCTGATTGTATGTTAAATCACTTGGTGGCGGCAGCGATCTCAAGGCAAGAAAGAAATCTGTGCCTTGCGGAATTTTTAACCTAAGCTGGTAAGAATAAGCTTAGGGGGTCTTTCATGCGGGTCCCCACATCTGTACCCCAGAGTTCAGAGTGGGGAAGGAACCCTGACAAGCTGCCTTACAAGTCCAGCTCAGTTTTTTCATAGAAATGTAGGGCTGGAAGGGATCTCAAGAGGTCATCTAGTCCAGCCCCCTGTGCTGAAGAGGGACCAAGTAAACCTAGACCATCCCTGACAGGTGTTTGTCTAACCTGTTCTTAAAAATTTCCAATGATAGGGATTCCACAAGCTCCCTCACTAACCTGTTCCAGTACATAACTATCCTTATAGTTAGAAAGCTTTTTCTAATATCTAACCTAAATCTCCCTTGCTGCATATTAAGCCCATTCCTTCTTGTCCTACCTTCAGCAGACATGGACAACAATTGATCACCAGTCTCTTTATAACAGGCCTTAATGTATTTGAAGACTGTTACCGGGTTCTCCCCTCAGCCTTCTCTTCTCAGGACTACATGCTCAGGTTTTTTAACCTTGCCTCATAGATCACATTTTCTAAATCTTTTATCATTTTTGTTGCTCTCCTCTGGATCCTTTCCAATTTGTTCACATCTCTCTCAAAGTGTAGTGCCCAAAACTGGACACAGTACTCCAGCTGAGGTCCTACCAGTGCCGAGTAGAGCAGGACAATTACATCCTGTGTCTTACATACAACACTCCTGTTAATACACCCCAGAATGATATTAGTCTTTTTTGCAACTGCATCACGCTCTTGACTCATAATCAATTTGTGAGTCACCATAACTCCGACATCCTTTTCTGCAGGTCTGTCATCTGGCCAGTTATTCCCCATTTTGTAGCTGTGCGTTTGATTTTTCCTTCCTAAGTGTAGTACTTTGCACTTGTCTTTATTGACTTTCATCTTGTCGATTTCAGACCAATTCTCCAATTTATCAAGATTATTTTGAATTCTAATCCTGCCCTCTGAAGTGCTAGCAACCCCTCCTTCAGCGTGGTGTCATCTGCACATTTTATAAGCATGCTCTTCACTCCATTGTCCAAGTCATTAATGAAAACGTTGAATAGTACTGGCTCCAGAATAGACCCATGTGTGACCCCACGAGATACATCCTCCCAGTTTGACTGCAATGCATTGAGAACTACTCTTTGAATATGGTTTTCCAACCAGTCGTGCAAATTTATAGTAATTTCATCTAGACCACATTTCTCCAGATAAATCGTGTCTGTGGCTTTCCCCCTATCTCCTAGGCCAGTAACCCATCAAAGAAGGAAACTAGTTTGGCTTGGCATGATTTATTCTTGACAAATCCATGTTGGTTATTACTTATCACCCTATTGTCCTCTAGGTGTGTACAAATTGACTCTTCAATAATTAGTTCCAGAATCTTCCCAAGTAACAAAATTCGACTGGTTGGTCTATAATTCCCTGAATCCTTTTTGTTCCCCTTTTTAAAGACAGGCCCTTCATCCGTCCTCCATCTGGAGCAAGGAGCCATCCTTTAGGTGCAGTAACTTGCTTTGATTCTGCACCTCCCACAAGGACTTTCCTACCTTTTGTAGCCCCTTTTATCGAAGCACTTTACACACAGGAACTTCCTAAACCTCATGGCTCCCTGTGAAGTAGGGCACAGATATGTCTGGTGTCACCAATGGCATTGTAATCACATAACTAGCATGTTGTGGGGGGATAGCTGTGAGGCTGGCAGAACAAGCATCAGTGGACAGCCCTTTTGTAAATTTTGCCCTGACTTTCTGCCAACAGCAAGGAGAACCTTGGTTCTTAAGGTCTTGTGTGGGCAGATCCTCCCACTCAGTAAACTGCATGAAGCTCTATCTGTCTCTACCCTGGAAGCAAAAAGGGTTGGGTCAATCCCGGTGGGATTTGAAACTGTGGTTCCGGCCACTTAGAGATCTACTAAACTGCTAACTTACTGCCTTTGAAGGGAATCTTTTTCAGAGCTTTCCAGGTGGTCTCAGCGGCTCTTTAAAGGAAAACACCCTCCCCTAAGTAACTCCCCATAGTAGCACGTTCGTCTCCTGCAGCCATAGCGTCGAACCTTCCTTTCTCTCGGCAGATTCAAAGGAGTGCCTTTTCTGTCTTCTTTGATGAGAAGTTTTCCATCCCCTTGGACCCGTCTGTGCTGGAGGAAAACAGCTTAAGATTTTCTGTCTTTGGCATTGATGAGGACGAGAGGAACATCAGCACCGGGGTAGCAGAGCTGAAGCTATTGGACTTGGATCTGGCCAGCCGCCCATTCAGTGCTTGGCTCTATCTGCAGGACATGAACAAGGTGAGCTCTTGTCATCTGCATGCTGGGGTGCCAGCTGGGCTCCCTGAAAATGAGTTACTGGGGCATGAAAGATAAGCGCTGGGTCGGCCACAGGCAGTGCTGGGTCTGATTACCTCCCCAGCGGGAGCCGTCCAGTGCATGAAGTGTGAGGGAATTTCATCTTTACTGCTGGGTTTGGAACCAGAGCTGATGCTGAAGCACAGTGGGGGAAACGGGATACGATGTCACCCCAGATCTGGTCAGCCTGTGCAGTGGCATGGCACTGGCCAACATTTCCTGCTGTGGAGTGAGGTGAACCCGGCCCCTTGCCCCCATTATGCACCTCACCAATTGTGTAATGATCCACCTGGGAGGAGCAATTCCCTCCTCCCTGCAGGCCATCAGCTGACACCCCGAAGCATGCGCATCCTTCTCTCAGCTTGCAGAGCTCAGATGGCTGTTCTGGCTATTTGGAGCCAGAGCACCAAAGCTGAGGTCCAGAACCAAATTTTCCAAGTGTTCAGGTGTTTGATTCTGCTGTTGGCTCAGGCCCAGCTCAATTCATTAAGAGTCCTTGACTTCTTAAAAGCAGTGAAAATATTTGTCTCATTGACCTCCACAGGCTGAAATAGTGTTTCCCCTTCTGCGTCTAGATTCACTGGCAGACCCTCAGCTGGTGTGGCTCAGCATTTACACCAGTGAGAATCCAGCCCTCTGCCTTTTGGTTTAATCAATGAGACCCCTGTTTCTCCCAGTATGGGGCAAGGTAGCAAGGAGAATGGGGGGAAGTGATCAGGGTTTCCCTCTGCTTCTGCTACCATTGATGACAGTTGGATGTCACACATGAAGATGACACCTATCTTTCTGAGGTACTTATGTGGACCTCCGCACTGTATTATCTGAGCCCCTCATAACCTTCCATGTAGTTATGCATGCCACACCCCTGTGAGGTAGAGAAGTGATATTTTCCCCATCTGCAAGAATTGCGACACAGAGACTAAGACCTTGTCTACACTTACAGCTTAGGTCGACATACCTAAGGCTCTCAGGGAGGTGAAAAGTCCACCCCCTTGAGCACTGTAGCTCTGCCATCCTAAGTCCCCAGTGTAGGTCGATAGAAGACTGCTTCTGTCAACCTAGCTACTGTCACTTGGGAGGTAAAGTTACTACAGCTTTTCCCCATTGTCACGCACATCTACACTGGGGCCTACAGTGACCCAGCCACCCCATAGCATGGACAAACCCTCTGTGAGTTTCCCATGGTCACACAGGCAGTTTGGAGCAGAGCAGAGAATTGAACCCAGGTCTCCTGAGTCCCAGTGCTGGCCTCTAACCACTAGGCCAGCCTCTGTAGGCTATAACTACTCTGCCTAGTTTCTGCCCTCATTGAGGGAACAACTTTCCCTGCCGGAGAGTTACTTCTCCTTCCCCTCTTGTCTGTGAATGAGTCATTTCTGCCGATGTTTGCTGTTGGGTGACGGTGCCTTACGTGCCCTACAGGCAGTTGACTCGGTGGGAGAGATCCTGCTGTCTCTTAGTTACCTACCCACAGCGGAGCGGCTGACGGTCGTTGTGGTTAAAGCCAAAAACCTCGTGTGGACCAACAGCAAAATGACAGCAGGTGAGTGCGAGGCCGTGAAAGAGCAGCTCCCGCCAGAGGCCAGCTCCGTGCAGCTCCGCCCTGCCTGCGGCTTCCCCTGCTAGAACTGCTGCCCAGGGTGCATCTCCGCTGCGTTAGTGCGGGAAGTGCTGCCGTGAGTCCAGGCACTTCACGCCTGTTAAATCAGGTGTAGCTCTGGGGAGCTCAGACGAGAAGCCCAGAACTTGAGCTCCAAAACCTCAGGCCTCTTGCCCTTGAGCCAAGGAGAGCATGTAGAGCTGCTAGCGATGGCAGTTGTTATTTACTGTTTGTAGTATGATAGTCCCGAATAGAGACAGGGCCCCATTGCACTAGCCACTGCACTTAATCTCTGTACTGCTCAGCCACTAGGAGGCAGCATTGCTCACAGGCCCTGTTTTTCTGTTGCCTCATTATAGTCACCGAGGGTCCCGTAGTTAAATAGGAAGGGCCTGTTCTGCCACTGGTGAATGGGGAGTTTATTCAAGTCACCCCTAGGCATATTAACAGGTTACATTGTGTATTATTGCGGTAGTGCCTGGTAGCCCCAGTCACAGACCAGGATCCCCCTGTGCAAGGTGCTGTACAACCACAGAGCAAACAGATGGTCCCTGTCCCAAAGAGCTAATGCAGAGCTAACTTGTGGGGGGGGTCACGTTCTTCCCCCCTAACCCCCCGATATCTGTCTTTCATTTAGCAACAGCTTCTAATCAGAGATTTTCAAAATGTGGGGTGTCCCACCTAGGGATGAACATTCAGGGAGGCGAGCAGCGATGCCAGCCCTGCACGATAGGGCTCCACCCCCTGACTCACCTCAGCCAGAAGCCCCCCTTGTCAGCTTATCCCAAGTCCGGCAACCCCCACGCTTCGAGAGCTGGGCTCCATCCTTGTTAGTAGTGGCCAACGCTGTCACCTGCTCTGTGGCGCCCCGTGCCCCTCGCTCCAGCCCCTGCCCACCTCACCGGGGGAGGGGCGGCACCTCCAGGCAGGGGCCAGCAGCGCCTGCACTGAAATGCCACCCACTGGCCCGGGGCAGGCTTTTGCAATGTCAACCCTTTCCTAAGCTCGGTCGCGGTTTCTCCGCTTGAGGCAGCGTGTGGTCGGCGCTGGGGTGGGATTCAGGATGCAGCGCGCTAGCCGCTGCAGGGCTGGCTGGGAGCAGGGGGCCACGGGGCACAAAGGTGGAGGGAGAGAAAGGGGCTCGCCAAGGGTGCCAGAGAGAGGGGGCAGGGCAAATGGGCAGGAACATGTCGTTCCTCCCTGTTCCCTCCCATGCCCCTCAGTCACTCCCTCCCCCCACCCTGCAGAGGCAAGGCATGGAGAAGTCATGTGTTCCCCCATAAACCTTTAAATTGTGGGGCCCCCCCATCACCAGTTACACGTCATCTCTGAGCTACTGTGCGTATACCCCTTTTCCCTGAGGCCCAGTGTTCCCTGCGCTCACTCAGCATTGTCTCTGCTTATGGGTGGAGGACAGTTGGCGAATGATGGTCCTTTGCTTCCCATTGTCCAAACAGATCCTTTCGTCAAAGTGTACTTGCTTCAGGACGGGAGGAAGATCAGCAAGAAGAAGACAGCTGTGAAGAGAGACGAGACAAATCCGGTGTTTAACGAGGCCATGATTTTCTCAGTGCCCGCAATTGTCCTACAGGTGAGAACTTCCCAGTCAAGGGCAGACTGAAGAGTTATGACTTTTTTTTTTTTTTTTTAAGCCAGAAAACTTTATACCGTTCATGAGATCCACCCCAACCTGCCTCTTGGGTCTGCCCAACAGGGTGCATTCAAGACTGCACCTTCCCTCCTCCCCCACATCAAGGAAATGACAGTACACCAGGGCCTGGGTATGTAACTAGAACTGCAGACTGAGCTGTAAATCTTCACTCCTCCTTAGCCTGACAGTTACAGCTTTTCTGAAATCTCCTGGAGTTTGACTGCTGCTTATATCAGGGAAGAGATTCGGGCAGTGAGTTCCCTGGTGCAAATCAGAGACATTAAAATTAAATCCTGCAGCTGAAACAGGAGGGCCGATGGCTGAGATCTAACCAGGATCACTGCACGGCATGGAAGCAGAGTAATTTCATTTAGCAAGTCAGAGGTTATGGAGTTAGTGGCTAATAAATGTGTCTGAAGGAGACACCTTCAAAGGGCAGATAATAAGGTGGAAGGTTTCTTCAGTGGCATGGAAACAAGAAAGAGCCTATTAAGGGATGGTTGCCATAACAACATCTCCAGGGGTCTCCTCCTGTTCCTCCCACCGTGAGGGTGATAGCACTGAGATCAGGGAGAACTGGACAAAGAGAAGGGAAATGAATGTGTCAGTGATAACAGCTAGAGTGGCAGTGAGTGAAAGCTAGATCTGTAGAGTATCAATCTGCAGGTGCGGATGAAACACACTTGAGCCTTTTCAAAGCAGCCAGGAGAGGAAATCTCAGAAAATCACCTTCAATAAGTCCAAGGACTCAGGAGACAGGAAGGGTGGATTAGTGGTTAGGGGGCTAGGCTTCTGCTCAGGAAATCCAGGTGCAGTTCCTTGCTCCGCCACAGACTTTCTATGTGACCTTGGGCAAGTCGCTTAGTCTCGCTGTGCAATCTCAGTGCCCCATCTGTAAAATGGCAATAATAGCACTTCCCACCACCCAGTGGTGCTGTAAGGTTAAGTACATGAAAGATTGGGAGGTACTGCAGTGATGGGGCTATACAAGTACCTAAAATGGATGGGTAGAGATGCAGTCCCTGGGAAGAAGCAAACCTGGGACTGGAGCTCTGTGTAGGGAAGGGAATGCAGGGAAATTGCCCTCTGCTTAGTCTGACGTCCATCCATGTAAACAATTCCAGCCTGTAACAAGGGAATTTGTGGTTGAACATTTAGGAGAGATGGGCTTTTTGAATGAACGTAGGCCATGCCAAACAAACAGAATAGCTGGGTCTATAGCTTACTGACTGAGGGGGCAATTGTCTTCAGCGGGCCACAGCTCTGGAGCAAAGGCAGCAGGCGGAAGCCTTGGCAAGCAAAGGGAATGCCGCATCTCTGAGTGTCATGCCCGTGAAACATCAGGGACCTGGCTAAATACCAAGGCATGAATCAGAAATGTGCTGATTAGAACTGGATGGAAATCTCCCACCAAAACGGTTTTTCATTGGAAAATGCTTTTTTCAACCGAAGTGGAAGTTCTCATGAAAAACTTACATTTTGATATAAAGGTTTTGTTTATTGACCTTCCCCCCCCCACCCCAACATTTCCAGTGCAGGAGGAACCCACTTGCTCCCACTTTTTCCTCCCCCTTTTTTCCCCAAGGGGTAAAAGACTTTTAAAAAAGTGAAAGCAAGTTATATTTTTCCTACCAAAATGACGTGTTGTTTAAAACTTCACAACCAGGGGAAAATAAAACCCAATTAACAGAAAGTTTCAAGCAAAATGAAAGATGCTTCTTCTTTTTAAATGTTCGTATAATACACACCATCGTTTTCTGACCCGCTCTGTCTAGTGCTGATGGACAGAGCCTAACTTTGCATGGTAAGTAGAGATAGGCCCAAGTCATACACCATAGTTCCAGATCTAAACTGCTCCAGAACTCAATATCCAGGCTGTTTCATTAACACACATCTCTAACGACAAGGCTTTCAAAGAGAGGAACTGCTGGGGCCATTTCTAGGGCCCCCGTTAAAGTCAACGAGCGCTGAGGATGCTCAGCACCTCCCAGCGGGATCGGGCTCCTTGTGGGTGAAAGTCTCTCAGCTGTATCCTGAAGGGTGCTGAGTGCCTGCTACCCTGTGTGACATCAGCCGGCGTGATGCACTATGAGCTGGTCCTTGGCTGCTCTTAGGGTTTGGCCGGGTTGAAAAGCAGTCGTAGCTCTAGAGGAGGATTTCTACAAAGGGGAATTTAATAGACAGCCAGCACTGACAGATATCATTCAGCTGGAACTCTCTTCCACCCAGCCCCCTACATGAACAGAACTGCACTGGCTTCGTGCTGGAGCTCCCTAAGTAGGAAGCAGAAGAGCTGGGCTTGCTGTTTCCATCTTGAGTTTAAGGGGAGGGTCATTTCTCTCCAAGCCCCACTCTGCAAGGGACTCTGTGGGAAGAATCCTGTTGACTTCAGGTCCCCTGTATGTTCCCGGCAGCTGGCTGGGGTGTGAGAGAACGGGCCGTGCACTTGTCTCTGCAATTCATTTGTAATCAGTGACTGTTTTGGAAGTAGAGTGGGACGTAATGAAAAGCAGGGCTGGGTCGCTAAACTAACCAGAGTAATCTCCACTTTGTGTGCAGGCTCACACGGAGCCGGTTGCGTTGCTCAGCTCATGCGAGAAAGGGGCTGCTGTGTACTTGGTACACAAGGCAAATATTCCTTGGGCTGAGGTCTGAGTTACACTCTCCAGTGCTAATTATTCATAATGCTGACCCCTTAGGCATTAACCAAAGCTATCCTAGCCGCTAGTATTAAAGTGGGCTTTCACTCTGCAACGGCTCTGTGTATACATGGTTCCCAGTCCCACAGCAGATCAGCTTCCTCTGTGTGTCCAGACTCTGATCTGCTGACTTGAGTGGCAACAATAAGGCTTATGGCTTTTTACACAGAGCCAGCACTCCCATGGGAGATTATTCCACCTTGTGTGTTGTTGGCAGGATTATTTACTGTATTCCAGAGACAAGGTGGGGGAGGTAATATTCTTTATTGGACCAACTTCTATTGGTGAGAGAGACAAACTTTCGAGCTTACACAGAGCCCTTCTTCAGGTCTGGGCTGAAGTGGGAAGTGAGCGTGAGTCTAATTGATGGCACAGACATACTCCCCTAGAATCCAATAGACTTTTCTACCAGTTTGGCCCCTTAAGTCTCATAAGAACCTACTCTCAGGAGATTTTGGAGACTCTGTGCTTTCAGGGATACCTCAAGGACCACTTCACTCATGATACTTGACCCTTGCCTTTCACTGCCATCGGGCACCAAATTGTGCTTAGATTGCAGTAGGCTTTTTGGGGCAGGGACTCTATTTTTGTTCTGTGTTTGTACAGTGCCTCGCACAATAAGTCCTGTGACGGGGGCTCCGAGGCACTACCTCAGTACAAATACATAAATAAGTGCAATGGGACATTGGTAATGTTTCCTGTGCCCCTCCAGGATCTGTCTCTCCGGGTGACGGTGGCAGAGTGTTGTGAAGATGGGAGAGCTGAAAACATTGGCCATGTCATCATTGGCCCATCGGCCAGCGGCATGGGCATCACGCACTGGAACCAGATGTTGGCAACCTTAAGGAAGCCGGTGTCCATGTGGCACCCAGTTCTACGAAACTAAGGGCAAAGTTACACTCTGCGGGTATCTTGCATGGTGCCTAGACTTCCCATAAGCAAATATTCTTGGCAAATGGACAGTGGTACGTGAGACATAAACTGTTTTTTCAAATGTTCTTCACAAGTTCCATTTAGTAAGAAGGAGCAGCAGGGGAAGTCACTGAATCAGATCCTTGAGGAAGCTTCAGTGGACTAAAACCTGAGAGAAGAAGCAACTCGTGTGATTATGCGCAGAAGTAGTTTCCAGGCAAACACTTCCTTCCTAGCACTTCCTTTCCAGTGACACCGGCTTGGGAGTCCCATTGTCCCTAATTGTGATTTTATTTTCCAGTGAATGTTACACAGTAGAGCATGGTCTGTTCACTGGCTTAAGGGGGTTAGGGGTAAATTTGTGATCTCGTACCCACGGTGGGCTTAGCCCCACTGATTGTCAACACAGTGCCTGGGGGGAGTTTAGCCACATGGATTTTCATCTACATGATGGCCAGGCTGGCATTTAACCACTGGGTGTTTTCAGTGCAGGGTCCAAAGAGAAATTTATGGTTTTAATACAGTGCTGCCCTGACAATATGCCCTCTCCAAAAGGGGTCCTTTGGTTCCTCCTCTGGATGCCTCCCCATTAAAAACTTGAGTTCAGGCAGAGTGAGCAGCTTAATAAATAGTGGGTGCTTATCTTCCCCGTCCGATTACTGGACATTCTGAGCTAAACTGAGCAGAGGGAATACAAATGCTGACATTTTTAATAAAGGAGAAGCCTTTTTTAAAAAAGAGAGCTATTTCCCAGTGCATAATATGAACGTAAAGGAGAGTTCCTTTAGGAAGAACTCATACTGCACTTTACCATTTCAATGAAACCAGCCTTTTCCACAGCCCATTCTCTCAAAGGCTCGATTCTGCGGTCAGTAGAAGTTGAGGGCCCTCAGCACCTTGGACGCTTGGATTTTGGGGGCCTTCATGTTTGAGGTTGGCTGAAATTCTTCAAATTTCAATTAAAATGTCATCAAAATCTGACGGGGGAAAAATGGGGATGGTGGTGGAATTTGATAACATTGGTGACTCCTGTGTTTTTGACCAACTATGGAACAGGGTGAAATGTTTTGAATTTCAAATGCCAACCAGAAAAGTGGGGAAAGTGTCTACTCACAAAACAGCTGATTTCTTTTCTCCCCCTCCTGTTTTCCAGCCAATTCTAGAGCCCAACTTGAGACACATTGGTGCCAATTTCCAGAGCTCCTGAGGTTCTGCGGACCTTCAGCTGGGATTGTGGGTGCTCAGCACCTTTGGAAGCCAGGCCCACAGGGTCTCGTACTGGGCACCCAACAGGATAGGCCTCAGTGTTTACTCAGTTGCCACTCAACTTGATCACTCAAGTTGTGATCAAGTTTAGCACGTGCCAGCTAATCCCAGCCTCAACTCAGCCACTCTTCCTAGTCAAAATAAACCCAGTGTTTCCCGCTATCACCGTTGTGTCGCAAATCTCGTGATTGTTGGTGTTTTCTGTAAAGCCCCAGCTCTTGGAATCATGTAGTTACTTGCTAACCTCACTTAAAACAAAAACAACAAACAATGAAGTGTCTAGCCCTCGTGGTATTGGAGAAAAGCTTGAAAACACGAGCACTCAGGGCTCAAACGCCACAAGCAAATGTAAAGAGCCCCAATTTTTTTTATTTATATAAAATGTCATGGTATTTCAGCCAATCTCGTGACTTTTGGGGTGGGCGCTTGATTCTCAGTGTTGAATGTAGGGACTGGCGAAAGTTCGGTCTCTTTGGGGACAATGGGTGTTTGTTTCAGGGCAGCGTGAAAACTGAGGGAGACTCTTCAGAAGAACCAGCTGCCGCTGAAAGCTGTGAAGGAGGAATGCAACCCCATTGCAGGAGACGTTTCCTGCCATCTTTGAACTTGGAAAAGCCGTCAAGAACCAAACTGTGTTGCTCATTGAGGCCTAAGGGGGTCTGAAATCAGTGCTCTGTTGTGATGGGCTTTCCAGGAAACAAAGGAAGAGATTACTTAACAGAGGGGAAATAAAACCAGTCAGATGTTTAATTCTACCTCTGTCCAACCAAATGGCATGGGGTGGGAGGGTGTTGGCTTCACCATCTGGGCAGAACCATCAAAAGCAGGCACAGCTGAATGCAGCCAGGGATGGTTTCTTTAAAGCAGTTGTGGTCAGGCTGCACCCTGTACTCTGCTGGGAAGGGACACCCAAGCTAGTAGAAGGAGAGGTGAGCAAAGAAATGGCGTGTAGTTTCTTTGCTGCCTTGAAGACTTGTAGTCAGTGAGGATTCAGACAAGACCGGGTGGGGGGCTCTCAGACTGCAGCTCTGCTGGGTGCTGCCATGTCTTGGTAGGTATGAAGCTATTAGCAGGGCTCCCCCTGCTTCAGAATGCATGGTTAGCCTCTGGGGCTGGAGCATGCTCATTGCTTATGGGAGGGGAGACCCCATTTCCCCTCATCTTACCTGTGTAGGAGCAAGGCAACTTATGGACCCCACTGAAATGCCCTGCAGGGTTCCCGGGTTCTATTGCAGCAGCATCTACTTGCTTGAGGGCAAGCCCAAGCTTCCTGGGCACACGGTGCCATTGGGCAGCAGGCACTGGGCGAGAGCATGCTGCATACCCAGTGCCACTTCCCCAGCAGGGGGGCTTCCCCTTTGCTAGAGAAACGTGCTTGTTTTCAGTGTGAATCACCCTTGTCAAATGCCTCAATCAAATGGTGAGGCAGTCTGTCAGTCCAACAATTGCAGCTTTGGGAACATGAGACTAACTAACTTTTCAGCTCCAGCAGCTTCCCACATCGCTAGTCAAAAGGCATGTGGGGAGGGGAGGCCTGTTCCTTAGCACTGGGTTCTGGGCTTGGCCAAGTGTCAAACTCCTCCCTCCTGCTCGCAAATGTTCTTCACAAATGGTTAGGATAAAATTGACGTTGGCTTTGAACTTTGTTGGCTATCTGGGCCTGATTGAAGGCCGACTTCAGTGGGCTTTGGCTCAGGTGTAATATTCCCCCTGTCTTGATTCAGACAAAGGTTAGAAGCCCTTTTATTTACACGACCTAGTGTCCCAGTTGTAGCTCCCTTTATGATGGAAGCAGAGCAAGGATGGTCTTATGATTAAGGTTCTGGCCCAAGACACAGGAGAAGGGGCTTTAGCCCTGGCTCTGATACAGACGTATACATGGTACTGGGCTATCACTCAGACTGCACCGTTACTGGATGTCTTTTTAAGAGCTATGCTGGAGTCCAACCACCAAGTTATTAATGCAGAACTCGCTGGGTGAGATTCCCTGGGCTGCGTGATACAGGAGGCCAGAAAAGATGATGACAATGCTCCCTTCTGACCTTAAAATGTGTCTGTTGCAAATGTCCTTCCCGTAGCATTAGATCCCTTTGGGAGCACAAGGCCAGGGCCGAAACGCTTTTGGCTGCAGGCTGTGGTAATGCTCGGCCAAAAAAGAATGAAAACGTTAATGGTATTTATGGGACCGACCAAAAAATTAAAAAAGCAACAATGGCTGTAGTTAAAATTGGTACTTTGAATGCTTAATATTCCGCTCTCTCCCCGCCCTTGTTTTGTCAGCATTCCATCATAGCAGAGTAGAGCAATATGCCAGCGGTGAGGGGGGCGTTCTATGAAAAGTGTATCTAGCATCATGCCATAGCTGTGCTGTGTATTTAAATGGTTATGTTATCACATTAAAGACCTGTCAGCCTCGGTGTATCGCACCTGCCCTTCATTCCAGCTGAAAGATAAATAAACAGCGAGGAGACTTGGCAAATGACTTCATGCAGAGTTGTTTTCTTTGGCGCTCTGGAGCTAAAAATTGACCATGATTGTTAAGTGTGCAGGGTTGTGTGAGAGGATGAACATAGGCAGGGGACCTCAGTTTATCCATCCTTAAAAGGGGGACAGTCCTTCCCACGAGGGGTTGTGAGGCCAACTTCATTAGTGTCTGTAACACACTGTGGATAAAAGGCATTGCAGATGAGCAGAGTCTTAATTGTTGTTTTCATCTTGGTTTGAATGTCCCCCTTTAAAACCATTCTGAATGTAGGATTCATCAGCATGGGAAGAACCTGTGAAATGACCACCTGACAGGAGGGACACAGAGACAACGCACTGAGCAGTGTTTCAATGACACACACTTGTTTGAGATCCCTCCCTCCCCCCCCCCCAAAAAAAAAAAAACCCAAAAAACAACTCTTTACGTGGGCCACCAAAGAGCCACAAGTTGTTCAAGGATTTCACCTCCAAGGCAGTTACAGAGTAATGCCGAAGACGCGAAGGCTCCATATCTCTCCCCAGCCACCCCCTGAGCCACCGGTGCTATTTAATGGGAATTGGAAGGCAAGGTTCCAAACCCGTGGCTGGCAACATGTGGAATTCGGGTGCGCGGGTGGGGTGACTTCCAGGTGAGAATACAAAATTAACGATCCCTATTGATTAAAAACCAGCTAGACGTGAGTTAGGAGCAAATAGAAAGGCCGCTGCGTGTCTGTTACACTCACCTTAGTGCTGGGTGCGGAGGCAGGTGAGGCCGTGGGGGCTGTCTGGAGGCCCAAGGACCATGCCCTGCAGCCACAGAAGATGGGCCACAGGCTGATCTCTGCACGGCCTCTCTAAACCCAGTGTGATTCAGCTAGAGATAGTGGGGTGTCTCTGGGTTTGCACCAGGGTTAGTGACAGCAGAATCTGTCCCAGTAAGTATAGCTGCTCTAGTCCTCCCTTGGCCTTTCCTCTGCCCATCTGGTGGGCCCTCTGTTTCCGAAGCCCTTCTTTATCTGCCTCTCTTCTCTCCTTCCCTACCCCATCCTTCTCTCTTTCCATCAGCCCCCTTTCTTCATTCTCTCTGTTCTCCATTTCCCCTTCCCTTCTTTCTTTTTATCTGTCACATATCCCCTCTCTTTCTTCTGATCCCCTCCTCCTTCCCTGCTCTCTCCCATTCAGCTACGCAGCCCGGTCTAATTAACTGGCCAGCAGCAGCACCTCTCACCGCTAATGCAAACACCCTAGGCCCTTCCCTCATTTGCTCTCTGTGGCCCTGAGGAGACACCGCATTGCCAGGTGGGCTGGGCCCTGTACCAATATCCTTGGGAGAGTTCAGCAGCCCTGGAGCCTCCAGACACTGCAGTCAGCTGAGCCATGGCAGCATTCTGAGGGAGGGCTATAAACCCCTTCCATATAATCAGCAAATAATTTTTCCAGCTTTGCTGGTTCCTCTGCTGCTGGGAATTGCGTCCCATTGCCTCCCCCTCTCTGCCCTTAGGCTTTGGCTCGCGTGAGTCCAAAGGGTTACAATGACGTGCTGTGACAGGCAGCCATGGTACCAGCCTTCCCAAACTGGCATTGCCCTGACATACAAGCACAACAGCTGAGGAAGAGGCCACAGAAGGGACATGGGCAAATAGGGCACCAGTGAGATTTAGTCCTGCTTTCTGACTTGATGCTGAGAACAGATGGCTCAATCCCGTGAGAGGCCAATGAAAGATTCAGCAGGAGCTCCGAACACATCCATGCAAATGCACACACACACTTCAGATTTTGACAACCCATTAAGCAGGCACGTCTTCTGCCTCTCTGTATTTCTGTCCCCATTACTCCTGAACTGGCCTATCTCAGCACAGACACCATCTTGTGTAAAACCTGGTCTGTAGGGAAGTAGCGTGGTCCAGTGGTTAGAGCACCAAACTGGGTCTTAGGAGACCTGGTTTCTAACCCTGGCTCTGCCACTTAGGTACTTACATGCCTGGCCACCAATGGGATTTAGCTGTTGTCCCCCCAAATCACCTCACACTCTTTAAGGCAGCGCACAGCACCCCTGTGAGGTAGGGCCAGTATCCCCGTTGAACAGCTGGAGAGCGGCGGTACTGAAAGGTATTTAGGTTCCCAGCTGCCTCTTCAAGCACCAGGAATGGGCTCAAAACGACTGCTTAGCTGCCACCTAAGTCTCCCTAGTGCCTATGTCTCGGGGTGGGCATGCACACTGCCACCGAAGCACGGACACCACCTGACAGGAAATAGCTGCTCAGAGCCCCAGCAGATCCAAAGCCGGGGGTGTGTTCGCCTGCCTGCCTCGCCAATGGGGCTGGCTTTTGCAGGTGTGCTTAGCGCGCATTCTGAATACTTGTCCTCAGGTTCTTCGCGAAAAACAGTGGGCCTAGCTCAGGCAGCTAACTCCAGGTTCACCGCTGAGCATCCCAACTAGTGGTAGGCATCTCCCTCTGGCCTGGCAGGCACCCAAAGGCCAGATCAACAGGTGTTAGGCACTGTAATAATGTTGTGGATACCCCACACACATTTCCTCTGCACACCTGGCTAGCTTAGGCAGCTGGCTGGCGTCTGAGAATCCCTTCCTTAGGCACCTCCCACTAATACATTATATAGGGAGCCCGAGCACCTAATGCAGAGCGAGGCTGCTAGCGGGCTGGAGGCGCTGGGCATTGCAATGCCTCAGGGCCTGTGTGAATCTAGCCCTAAGTGACTTACCCAAGGCCACACACAAAGTCTGTGGCAGAGCAGGCCCTAACCACTGACCCACCTCTCCTCCCGTGTGCGCTGCCTGACCCTGGGCAGGTCACAGCCACACCATGCCAGCTGTTTCCTCTCAGCCATTGTCAGGCTCCTCTATTTAGACTGTGAGTAACAGGCCCTGCTCTCAAAGTTTGACAGTGTGTTTGTACAGCACCTAGCACAATGGGGCCCGAAGCTCAGTTGTTACACAAATACTAATAATTACTTCAGTTGGGCCAATGCCCTGCTCAGGAGTCCAGAGGGCTCTTTCAAAGACATTGCAGCAACTGCTCTGGAAAGTGGCTGTAAGAGGCCTTCCTGGATCACTGAAAACAGACACCATAAAGTCTATCTTAATTAAAAAGCATGGTTAATGCAAAGTTACGGTTTCCCAGCAGCAGCCTGCGTCTTTCCAGGTTGTCAAGTTCAGCCAAACTAAAATGTCAGGGGGGAAAAAAAAACAGGAATTACAGAATTTAATTTACACACCCATGTAACTTTAACTCCCCCCCCTTCCCGGCCCCCCCAAGCTGGCAATAGCCCCTGGGAATTATTCACAGGCACAGCAGCAGCATTCAGCGTGATTGTAACCGTATTGAACGGTTTTAGGGAGGAGGCAGTAGATGGGGCAGGCAGGGCGCGAGGTGCTTGAGACCTGAGGTGGGGGTTAGTTTGAGGGGTGTCACAGAGCTGTGCCATCAGGCGATGAGGGCTTGTGCCTACCCTGCGGGTGAGGAAAGGAAAGGGGAACATGTGTACCTGAGAAGCTCGTCCGCAGCATTTTAGTGCAAAATTGTGCGGGTTGGCTCCGCCCTCAGGCACCCGGGGGAGGTCTTGCTGCGCCACGTGGCAGTAATGAGGGGGCGACCGAAGCCGCCTGTGGGGTTACTGGTGGGTAAGGGCAAGTATAGTTTAGATGGTAGATTGTAAGTGTGTCGTGGCTGTTACATTTCACAACTGTGGTATTCTGTCGGGAGAGTAGGCTTAGGCCTGGTCCACACTACAAAGTTAGGTTGACATAAGCCACCTTGTGTCCGCTTATTTGGGCATGTGTCAATATTCCTATTTGTCGCCTGCTTGACGTAAGTGCTCCATTACGGTGCTGCAGTAACTCCCCTTTCCCAACTGGCACTGAGCCCCGGTCAACGTCATGCGTTCAACGCAATGCGAGTGTAGCCACCCCATGACCTATGTCAAGCCTAATAGTCCTCCGGCATCTGTCCCACAATGCTGGACAGTGACCGCTCTGGTCACAATTGTGAACTCCACTGCCCAGGATCATGGAGACCGGAAGCCGTATCCTTCCCCCCACCACTTTAAAAGCTCTGGGTAGTTTTGAAATGCCTTTTCCTGGTTGCCCAGCTTGGTCAGCACACCTAGCAGCTCTCCTTTGTTATGTGCAATGCACTGCTGCCAGGCGTGGCCAGGAGATCCAGGAGGCCAGGCACAGCTACGGAGATATCTTAGAAACCTCAGCACCTGCGACAAGATTGCACTGAGGATGCAGGCAAAGAGGTAGGACAGGGATCAGCAGCAGTGCGGCAGGCACACCACAATGCCAGGAAGGCCAACAGTTGCTCTGGTGCTAAGCCGCAGACCTGATGCTTTTGCAATAAGCTGCATGCCATATTTGGTGGATACCTAACCGCCACGTAGCAGGGCAGGTGGATACCTCTGAGGAGCCTGCGACACAGACACAGACCCCCGCCATGAACAGCGTGGAGGAGGAGGGTCACGTGTCCAGCTGAGCCATGAGCCAGGAATCTCTCTGAGATGCCACCACTGTCTAGCCCATCCCACCAGGATGAGCCTGAGCCAGGAGATGGAACGTCAGGTAAGTGTGCACATGCCTTCTCCCTTGCCAGGTTTGAATGAGCAGATGGTGCCTGCCCCAGCCATAGCTCAGTAGTTTGAGCATTGGCCTTCTAAACCCAGGGTTCTGAGTTCAATCCTTGAGGGGGCCATTTAGGGATCTGGGGCAAAAATTGGGGATTGGCCCTGCTTTGAGCAGGGGGTTGGACTAGATGACCTCCTGAGGTACCTTCCAACCCTGAGATTCTAGGATTCTAAGTTGGCAGGCCACAAGGAGCGACTTTTCCTTGATTTACGAGGAGAGGTGGAGAGGTACAACACGCACAGGTAAAGTTGTCATCTGCTTGTCATTTCCCTCTAGGGCGAGGTGGGATCCCAGAGCTCAGGCTCCAGCCCCAGTCTGAACAGCTACACAGCAGTTTTACAGCCCCCCAGCCTGAGCCCCGGGAAGCTGACTGG